GAAGACAGTGCTGTAAAACAAAGATAAAGTAGTCAATGCTAAAAGACAAATCATTGGACATTATGTGAAGGCAGTAAACAGGGCCGTTTCTACATGAAATTCACAAGGCAGACACAGATGGCATCAGCAGTACTCCAGGCTGCAGTTTACAGTAGATTTCCTTACTCACACACCCTGTTCCCTGAGTACACCATCTGACCTCACCAAGCTGTAGCCAAATATAGTATGCTTGACTTCACACTGCTAAACTACTTATTGTCTTTTTCTTTTTTTTTTTTTAAGTTGCATACCTACTTTTGTAATGGCCACTCACAAGTATTTGATGAAATACTCTGGCTAAAATATCCTCCTGTTTACATCAAATAAAGCACTGCTTCCTTCTTTTATGCTATAATTTAGCTGTAGCTCTAAACAAGACAAAGACAAATATTCTGCAGCGGTGTGAAGTGAAACAGTTACTGAATCATGTAGGCTTAAAGCAGCAAAATAATCTGACAGAAGAAAGGAACCAGCATACTTTTTTTGACACTGGGCTCCTGGCCTACAGTACAATTTTTCAAGTCAACTATCTAATTCATCCTGCACTTATAAAGCCAAAGATGAACTGGCTCACATCTGCACTGCTGTACAAACTCAGCAGCAAACACCACTCTTCTTGTATCCCTTCTTCCCATTTAATGGGATACAAACTCTTTGAGGAACATACAAATGAAAACTGACAATTTTATCTCTCCAAAGAGACAAAGAATATTTCAAAATTAATTCCTTAGCTAAGAACTCCTCAAGTTGTTCTCATTCATTTTTTCTAATACCAGGTTGTCCAATGATTTCACTGCAAATCAGGCAACAACCTTTGATCTTTCAAGATTCACCTCCACAATGTGATCTTCTCATTAATACCCATTTTTCTTCTCCACAATTGTCTCTCTCAGTATCAGCAATGAAGTCCATGCAACTGAAACACAACTATGGTATTGTATCTGACCACCAGGCTGCCTGGGTAGGGTAGCCTACTGAGACATTAACCAAATCTGAAGCTCACTGATTATAATGCATTCATCCAACAACTCTGTAGCATTTAACAGTAATAAAGAACATCCCAATTACTTCATAAGCATTTAAATTTACCTTTCACCTGAAAAACTGACTCATGCTCAAATATCAGTCTTTGTCACAATCTGTATTATCTCTGAAATAACAAGAAAACAAAGCTGGTAGCTTTCTTAGAAGACATCACCTTACATGGTGAGATCACAGTATAATCAGTTTTTATTAAGGTGGATGTAAAAATCATGCTTTTAGCTGAGCACTGAAGCTATAACCGCTCCCCACATCTACACGAAGCCTGACAACCCTCCTCTTGGCCTTCATAGTAGACTCTCCTCCCAGCCTTCATAGTAGACTCAGTACTATCCGAAAGAGCAGCCCAGCTAGCTTCGCCAAAAAACAGATTTGTCTTCAAGCAAATTTATGTTAAGTTCCATTAACTGAAATTAAATTGTTAGCATATCGCTAGACTTAGGTAAGCAAGGGGCTTGGTCCTGTACAATGGTTCCACAAGCAAGTCCTCCTCAGAGATCCAGTCATAGAAATTGCTGAAGTCCAGCCCAATTGGACTCGCACAGAGACAGTTACAGCACAACTGGAAGCCCAACACCCCCATAAACGTGGTAACCTAATAACCACCCACAGCTCTCTTATAAGAAAAGGCATAGCTACTCCAGCATCTCTGCTTTGCCACAGAAGGAACTTTTCCATACATACCCAAAGCTTAAGTTCACTTAGAACCTGGGTTAAATGTAAACCTGGTACACCAAGGTAGCCCATCATTCTTGCAGATGTCATGGCATTTCCCACAGAGGGACATACGGTATACCTAGATGGGGCAAAATACAGCATGTTCCACATCTTTTGTGTGGATGACAGTCTTACATGTGCATAATCCTGGACTATCTATAGATAGAATGGGCTGGGAAGATCCATCCACCAGATGGCATAGCTGAGAAAGCACGAAAAAAACAATAAAAAAAACAAGAAAACAACACACTGGATGTTAAAAAAATATGACCATCTTTTTGTATACTACAGTGCAACTAAGCCTAATCCATGCCTAGAATTCTGAACACCTGTATAAGAAAAACTCTAAACCAATTCAGTGCGTTCACTTTTGTGGTCCCCCATCAGTTCAGAAGTGTTTCAGCTAAGTTAAAAAACTGGTTGTACGACTTTTAAGTGCTTGCAGAATCTTTTGCAAGCTATTTCTGTATCAAAATACATCTTATAAGCCAAAAGTATCCCCAAAAATCAATCAAGCACACCTCTAGAAGCACCATCTCTAACAAGCAAGTACCAGACATATTGTAACAGCCATTGCAAAACAAGCTCTTACCATTCATTAATTCAGCAGTGAATTCAGGAATAAAAAGGATGAGTATTCAGTATACGTAAGAACATGGAAATAAACCAACATCCTAGGAGACTATCATCAAGCATTAGACTATGGCTCAGCTAAGCTTTTCTGAGAACTGTCCCCAATTTAACTCAGGAGCAAATCAGTCTGGCCTCAGGCACTCCAATGATCCCTACTACATGCCCAGGATAAGCATACATGCACATCTGCTGAGTGTTGGTACTTTGTCCTTGAGGAATTCTCCCAAGCAGCCTAGCCACAGGCCTCCTCATACTGGTGTCTCAAACAAGAAGAATCACATGCAGGGTAAGATGATCTACTGCAATCAAAAGGCAAGTTTAAGATGTTATATAACCCAGAAGACAAGTGGTCTTGAGCAACCACAGTGGAAACAGTTATAAGAAATCTAATTAAGTAAGAACCCAAGAACTCAGGCTAGCTAGCCTCACAGGAACAGGTGTCACAAACTAGGAGGCCAACTATAGCAGGGAAGGTTCAGGCCACAGCTTTTAAAATGCATTTACTGCCTTTAAAATTTATGTGCAGCCTCAGACAATTGTAGACTGCTGCCGAAACCGAACACCATCCATTTCACCTCAAGTAACCAAAAGGACTACAGGCATACTGCACAACAACATTTCATTTAAAAATACTATTACATTAATGCAGTTTTTTTTTTTTTTTTAACAGCTCAAAAGCCACTTTTCCTCATTGTTTTAGTCAAAATTGAAGTAGTAGTAATGGAGACAAAGAGCTTACTTTCTACAGACTGCTCCAGAGATAGAAGCTGATAGGAACTGTTCTGTGCAAGCAGCATGAGAGATACACACACATACTGGCACGGGTCAGCTAAGCAACAGCATCAGCTCTGTAACAAGAGCTGCTAGCTGCATGAAAAGGCTTCAGTGTGGAACACTACTATTCAAACTGCAGCTTAAGATACTGTACATTAGCAGTAAAACAAAAGATGTTACATGAAAATCCACCTGCAATGTACTTTTGTTTTTTCAAAAGAAACTATTGCTTTTCAGATACAATATAATGTGTTGTACAAAGTATTCCTTCTACTGTTAGTAAGGGACAAATCAAGAAAAATCTTCTGATCTCTGCAGAGATAAACTGGCTGACAAACAGATGCAACACTATCACAAAAACTTATTTCTGAAAATGCATATACATAGCCTTAGAAATTAAATTGCCATGGAATGAAAAGCATAGGTGAGGTTGCATAGTTTCAGTACAGCCAGTAATAACCCAAAGAGCTAGAGTTGCAACACAAGCATTTATGGTATATGTGAAAGGTAACAAGTAAGTATTTTAAAGGTCTTAATCACCTTAAAAACATTCTATTTTTAAGCAACTACCAGATGGGCAGAGAGGAAAAGTACTTCTCATTATTCTGTCCATAAATAAGACCAAAAAAAAGCAACCAAAAAACCACAACACTATACATACACAAATGTTAGGAAGTTCCAAAAAAAAAAAAAAGTACAATAAAAAGTCAATGTTTAGTGGGTTACTGCTTAGCTTGCCTTATGCCTACCTACTAATCAGGATTTCAACATGCAGAAAATGCAGAGTTTATCTGTAGTAGTGATCAGAGATAAACTGATAACAGCTGCAGCTTCTTTCCATACTACACTACACCGTGCATCTTGAAACACAAACACGAGTGCAATTGCCCAACGCCTTCATATCTTTTTCAACATTGGTTTCATTGCTTTTAACTTACAGTTTCACCTCCAAAAAGGCCAGCAATTACCCAAAAAAACTGAGAGTCCTACGAGCTCTGCTTGGCAGTAACTTGGCTAAGAAGAATGTTCAGACTTAGGAAACTTGTTTCTATTCCAGAACAGTACGTACTCCATACGTTTCTTTATATAAGCCTTCTGCAAAGCGATCTAAGTACACGAGGCTCCATCTCCATTTGTGGCAAGGCAGTGAGTGGAGAGCGCGTATCCGTGCGCGCAGCACACGGGGCACGGGCTGCGTGCGGGATGGGCGAGCTGCGTGAGAAGGGGCCTGCGGAGACCGAACACTCGAGACAACTTACGAGAGAGAGAAAACGCTACTAACAGTATCGCAGCTTCTCCGGAAAGACTGATTCACCTTCCCTCCTCGTTACGAGGGAAACCCGCACAAAACGCACCGCAGCCCCGAGCAGCGCAGCGCACAGACAGAGGGCCGCCAGCCCGCCGCTCCCACACAACCCCACGCCTAACGCCGCACCCCAACGCGGTTTCGACCCCGGAAGGCTGCGACCGACCCAGCCGCCCCCCGCCCGGAGCCGAGCCTCCCCCAGAGGGCAGCTGCGGCGGCGGGAACCGCTCCTCAGCGGCTTTTCCGCCTTTTCGATGCCCTTAAAGGCGGGCGGCCGCCCCGGCGAGGCTCCCCCCTCCCGGCCCTGCCGGGTACCCGCAGCGTCCCCTCCCCGCCGCGAGGAGCGGTGCGGGGCACGGCACGGCCGCCGGAGCCCCCCGAGCCGCCCCGAGCCCCCCAGGCCCGAGGGAGGGGCCGCCCCGGCTCCCGCCGCGCCCTGCCCGCCTCCCCCCCCCCAGTCTCCCGCGGAGCGGAGCGGCCCGGCGCTCACCTTCCAGCAGCCGGGTGATGAGGCTGTCCACGTTCAGCTCCCCATCCGCCATTTTGTGGCCACCACACTCGGTCCCGGGCGGAGAGAGGGCGGGGTGGAGGGCGCTCCGCCGAGCGGCAGGAGGAGGAGCGGGCAGCAGCAGCAGCAGCAGCAGCGGCCGCGGCGCAGACGGCTCCCCCCGCCCCCCGCCGGCAGTCCCCTCCGGCCGCCCGGCGTCACAACGCGGCCAGCCGAACGCGCTCCCGCCGCTCCCTCGCCGCTAAATGGGAGGAAGCGGCCACCCCGTCTACCCTCCCCTCCTCCCCGCCTCAGCAGCCGCCGCCGCGCATGCGCCGCTCGGCCCTACCCGCCGCGCCGCTCTCCCGGCGCTGCGCAGGCGCTGCAGGAGTGGCGGGCGGCGGGGCGCGTGCGCGGCGGCCGTTAGGCGGTTCGTTGGTCTGCGCCGCTCCGTTGTTTTTTTGTTGCTGTCGGGTTTTGGGGGGAAGGGGGGAGGAAAAAAAAACACGAAACTGAGTCGTCGTAGGATGCGTGTAACTTGTGTGTCACTCCTCCTGCTGAAGCCGCCCGTGGAAACTCACAGTCAAAAACCTGTCAGAACCGGGGTGACGTGACGTGCTGTCTGCTGGGGCAGCGGGCAGAGCAGCCCCTAACCACCGCAGTTCGTGTGACGCTGCGGCCGGACCTGCCGAGATTACCTGTCTGCTAATGATGGTTTTTTAAAAGCGAGTACCATGGAACCATGTTAGTTTACACACCTGCTTTACACACCAACAGCTGCTTGCCTTGGACGGACGGAAGTGTCTTTTAAAATGTACGTGGTGAGAAAGCGCAGAGTGGGTCAGCAAACAAATAAACGCGCGTTGGCAAAATGCGTACCTTGCCTTGTGCTGAACAAATGGCAGGTGTTCTGGAACAAACACGCCACTTATTTATGTGCCTAAATATGGGTGTCGATGCAAAAAAAAAAAAAAAAAAAACAACAAAAAAACCACTTCTGTGAGCTCAGACTTGATCTTTTCATCTCTACGTGCAAGCCAGCAAAACCCCATCGCCTTTAGTATGAAAACCTGATATTTATGTCTTGATGAGGAGAAAATGAGGAGGAGAAAACAAAATCAGTTAAGGCAATGCAGGGTGATAGTTAGGCATCCTGATGTAGCCATCGGGCATCAGGCAATGCTGGGTGTCCGGGCAGCCAGGTAGAAGAATGCTCCTTTGAAATATGTAGGCAATGATTGTAAAGCTTCACTTGGATCACTAAAGGAAGAGGAAGAAGTTCTAAAGAAGGAAATGTATTTTGTATCTCCCTTTGATGGCAGCATACATAGAAATATAATTCCAGCTCATCTGCTGAGAGCATACACGTATCCTTCCTTATTTCTGAGAGTAGTAAAAATCTAAATAACAAATCTTCATCTTTTTTTTTTTTTTTTTTCAAATTAGGAAAAGCAGTCATTCAGCTCTTAAAAAGATCTTCCTTGTCCTAACTATTAAATCCTGCCAAAACTAATACATACATGGTCCCTCCTGACCTTTCAGGATTTGTCCCAGGTTTTGTTTCTTTCAACTGAGCTGCTGTGAAGATTATTTTAAGTCATCAAATTCAGACATAATTATATATTATCAGAGAACATTTTGCATTGACAACAGAATAGGGATATGAAGTTATCCTTCACTGTGACATAAAGATACAATTAATTTGTCTTCAAAAACTCCAGAAGATACAAAACTTACAGATACGTTGAATAAAACATAATTCCTTAACAACTGTTTTTACTAGGCATGTCGGTGTGTTCCAGTGGCATATCATAATATAAAAATAATAAGTGGAAGCTATAGAACAGAACCCATAGCAGCAGAATGTGGAAAAATACATTACTTCTTTCCTTTGTAGGTACTCCGCGTGTCTCTTTTTTAATTTTACCACATTCACATTATATCTGAAGCCATACTGACCTATATAACTTCAAGCCTTTGCATTCTTGAGAACCTCTGGCACGCTCATGAAGCTTGGCTTTCTGCTCCACTTCTCTGCTTCTCAGTTTTTGGGGATGAGGGATGACATTACGTAATGAGGAAAGCCCACTGACACTGCCATTGCCGTCAGTACAACACCTTACCAGCCAGCTCCTGGCCCTCATACCAGCAAGTCTCCCCTCTTCTTCCTCATCCTCCATGCACCCTGAAGTCGGAACGTGGCTGGAGCAGTTTTGTTTCCCAGCTGTACAAGGCTGTCACATGGGAGAACAGGCTTCTTGCCGTGCAACAGGACAGCACAGAATGCCCCTGCTTTGCTTTGTAGCTTGAGCAAGGAAATGAGTTGGTGGCTTTCTTACTTGTAGGTCAAACTTGTTAGATCTTATGGTTTGTATTGGCAAAACTACATTACAGCAAATGGAATTAGAAGATCAGAGAATGAGGCCTGTTGTCTTTTATGATTCAAAAAGAAGTATTTAATGTGGACTGAATGCGTTGTCTTTCATCAAGGGAAGATGTTCAGTAATTTCTGACATTACAGCATACGCACATGCAGGCCAAAGATATTTAACTGATTATTTAAGTAGCAGGAGAAGCAGAACATTGCTGATTTGCCTGTGGCAAATTCTCATTAATAATACTAATCTTTCTAAGCTTCCTTTCAGTTATTTTGAAATCTCCTCTTATGTCCACAAACAGGGCTTTGCTGCTAACTTTCTTTTGGTCTCTGTGCCATTTACCATAAATACCCTGCGTGACATCTTTCCTTATCCACATGCTGTCTCAAAGTATCCTTTAATTCAGTACTGAGTATGTAAGACTTAACAACAGATATTTCCAAGTAAGGTGACAAAAAATGGTGAGTTACCAAGTGTCATTCTCTAAGTCCTTACTCTGCTGCTGAGACAGTTGTGTCCCAACTATAGAGTCCTGTCTTGACAATATTGCCTACTCTTTCTTGGTTGCCTTACATGGGGTCAGCTATCAAGTACTTTAAATATTGACTTCAGCATTGCTGAAGTTGCTTTCAGAAACCACAGATCCAGCTGCCTTGTCCTGCTTGGTCTGTCCTCAGTTACCTGACTGAGAGCACATAGCAATGTTTGACAGCTGTCCACTCACCACAGCTTATTTCTGACATGTCATATCACCTTGTGGAGCCTAACTTAGAGCTGACTACCACTGCTGTGTAGGTGGGAAAAACTGCATGGCCCATAGTTGCTTTTCCATCCTGTAATTAGGTGCATATTCTCCCTGGGTGGAAGCACTGCTGCCTCAGTGGCCTTTTTCAGTTTCTGACTTGAAACAGGAGTTAGTGATCCCAGTCAGCACCGGTACATGTTTTCTGAGGACAGCCTGCTTACAAAATACTCACAGGTCTTGATTTTTGAGCAAGAAATCATATCCAAGTACTGTCAAAATAGACAAATGCTGCTGATTAATTACCACTATTTGGCTGTAAAACCAGAAGCAGACACAGAAAGCCAAGCAGATCCTACCCTGTACCTCCTTAGGACCCTTTTTCCTTTCTCAGTATTTACACTAAGGCTGGGTGAATAGTAGGTTTTGTTCTGTACTTTTAGAGATTAAAATATATATACACTACTCTAATACATAGAGCCAAAACCAAGACTTTCTCAACTTTCATAAGAAATGAGTGGAGGAGGACAGTGAGTTGAGTTCAGAGCCACGTACCCAGGATGTGAAAAACTTTTCTGTGAACTGCAGCGTCCTAGATGGGTTTCTTTTTGGAGTTGTGACACTTTGTATAAATAATTAAATATCAGCTGGAGCAGAGATGTGAGTTTGGATCTGTGTCAGATGAAAACTCTAATCGTTCAGCAAAAGAGCCAGTCAATTCCTTTTGATGTAGCTATGATAGTTTCTAGAAATAGTTAAATATTAATAGAACCAAAAATGTAGGCTATTATTAAAGTAATACACTGTAAATATTCTGCATACATTTCATACTTATTCTTTCCACTTCAAAGAGCTAACAGGCGATTCAGATTCACCCTCCTCAGATTCTTGTCATACATTTGCTCATGATTACCTGGGCACCCTTGGTAAGTTCTCAGTTTTAATTCCCACATTTATAAAATGAAAATAATAACAAATGTGAGCCTCTCCAGACAATGAAGAGACACAACTGAAATATCTGAAACACGTATGAGAACTTTGGCTGATATTCAAACGTGTTTTCCATAATCATCAAAGCTTTAATAATTGTAGATTAATACCAGCCCTTGGTTCCTGTGAATGTAATACATCCTGACTGCTTTTTAAGAATACTGAAAGGGCAGAGTAGGTCTGGATGTTATTTTATCTGCAATTAAAACAAGAAAGCAGATTGTTGATTTCAAAGACCAGTGATAAAAAATAATAATAATAAATACAAATTTCATTCCAGTAAGCCTGACTTAGAAGTCTCATTCTGGAAAGAGCAGTGACACCTGCCCTATCCCAACAGCTCCAAGCTAGTGTGGAGACTTGGCAAGATAAGAATTAAGAATTGCCTTGAAGGCATGAAGGAGAACCTTTCAGGACCTCATGCAAAACCATAAGGTAAGATGCATACAGTGTGGCATGTCACAGATGACTTCATCTCTCCGTATCAGAACTGTTTAAAAGTGGAAGGAGTGCTTTTTATTATTATTATTATTATTATTATTAGCATATGATACAATCTCAGTTCCCCTGGCAGCCTGCCCTACTGCCCACAAACTATCAGAAATTTGCAACACTTGCTGTGGCGTTATTCCCTAAGCAAGGAAGAGGGAAACAAAACAAGGCTGTGCCTGCAAGATCTGCAGATCTCAGTTTGTGGAATGTCAATTAAGCTTACTATTTCTTTGCTTTAGAGGAAAAAAAAAATAAATGTTCCTACTCTCCTGTTTCCCAAGGAGGAACAGCTGTGAGAAATGAAAATGTCTGCATCCATTTTCGTAAGTAAACACAGGACTATTTCGTTTCAGCAAAAGCAGATGGTCTGTGCCCTGTGAATATGCTGGCATTTGACACTAGCAGCCAGAGTTTCACAGAAATAAAATGTACGCAAAGCATGAGAAAGACTCCTCTAAACTCCGAGGCCAAACTCAAGAAATGAAAGCTATGATTGCAGTAAGAATATCCTTGGAAAAAAAAAAAAAAAAACAACAAAAAAGAAACCCACAAAAAACATTGTTTATCCAGAGATCTCAAAGGGCTTTCTAAATATTATTAATCACACTTCATAACAGTCCACAAAGCAATTAAATTTCTTTATATGTTTCTCACAGAGGATTACACTGAAGAAGAGAAGATAAATGAGCTCCTTCGGGTTATGCAGTGAGTCA